GGTGGGGGGTACGGTCATTGATGAAATCATCGAATTAGTAATCTTATCATAATGTATGCCGAAGTTTCGATCTTCGTTTTAGACCTTAATCAAGGTTATGTAAAAACAAAATAATAACTAATTAGAAATTCAATATTAGGGTGGACGCACCAGTTATGGACAGAGTTCCCAGTGATTGACAGGTTGGACTTAAAGGTTTCAGTTTTTTTCTACATTGAAGGGTAATGTCCTCTATTGATAACTATATGAACACAGTTTCCAAAAGAAAATTTTAAAATGCCTATCATCGTTGTTTCTATAATGCTCTTGAGATCACTGTGTTTCATATCTTTCTGCTAACAGATTTGCTAAGATTAAGATGAACATTTTCCTTATTCTTTATTATTTTTAGTTATCTTTATTTTTCAATTTTAAAGTATTAAATAGAAAAAGGAGATCCTAGAGATTCTAAATGTCCATCGGATAAGTTTATAACTATAATAAGAAAGACAAATATTTCCTTAGTTATATCCTTCACTGGTACGCATACTCAACTAGATAACATGAAAACAAAAGTATGGAAATTTCTATCCGAAAATAGTAATGATAATGTACATAAATATGTGTAAACGATAAAAATTACTGAAATTTGTAAAAATAAATTTTTCGAAATATTTGAACATCCAAATATTCCATCTTGATCAAAAATATGATTGTTCACCCAGTTCACCGGAGAATGAAAATTAATTTTAGCTTTTATAGTTATACTTATGAGATAATGTTAAACTTTTTTATTTATTTTCTACAAATCATAGAAACAGAACAAGGTTTTGCTCTCAGATTAAATTTTGACGAAATTCAGAAATACCTACTTAAGATGTGTTCGTAAGATTTATAAAATATATTCGATTCAGCATCTTACCAAACAAAGCATCGAAATTTTAGTCAGAAATTTGAATTTTGGCTCTGATATGAAACATTTTAGTGGTATTCAAATTGTGAACGTTCAAATTTTAAAAATCTATAGCTTTTTTTTTGGAAATGAAAATATTTTTAATATCCTGAGACTGTTGTCCCTTTAGTGCAAGATATAAATACTGAGAAAGCGAACAAAATAAAATGAAAAATAAAAATAACATAAGAATAAACAAAACACATGGTTTCGGGGATCTTATAGATTCTGATCAGTGGATGGAAATAATCGGTGCTTAAAAGGAGATTAAATGAGGAACTGATTCACGTCGATACGGAAGGAAGAATCAAAGGAGACGCTTGAATTGCAAAGGATTTGTCAAACGCAGCAATTTGGTGAGGAGGAGGACAGAGTCAGAAGTACGGGATCTGGTGGGACAGGATTGAATGGAGGATTTGAATTGTAGTCGCTGAAGAATATAAGAGGGTCGCTGACTTCTAATGGCCGGTTTGGAAAGGTAGCTAGGAAGTACAGACAGCGTTAGGATGGATAGAGCCACTTCAACTCGGCGGTAAAATCCCTTGAGATTCCGAAGATAAAGCATTTCGAACAATTCATTTGGCGTTTAAGTTTGGCTTCTAGTTCTCCCGGGAGTCCACCGTATACCATACAACCATAGTCGAAGTGGTGAAAACAAGAGAGGAAACCAGGATTTGATTTGACCAGGAGTTGAAGGGTTTTGTATGGAAGTAGATAGCGTTGACGGTTGAACTATTTTAGGGTAGAAATAGTACGACGCAAACTTTGGGAGATGTGTGGTTTCCAAGAGAAGGTTTGATCAAAAATAACATCATGGTTTTTAACGGAAGTTTGGAATAAAATAGTGAGTTGTTTAGGAGATGATTTTGAGGTATAGTATTGGATTTTATGAGTGCGGGGGTTCCGATAAGAATATAGTTCTGTTTAAAAAAAAAAACTTACCTTCAACGAGACAGCCTTATAATAAAAGTGACATTGTTGAGGAATGTTACGATAAGAATTTTTCACAATTATTTAATTAAAGTAGGGGTGAATATTCTGATTTAGGATTAAACATTTGTGAGTCACCTAATTGTTAATTATAATCTAATATTTAATTTCTAACTTCTTGATGTAGTTCCTGGTGCCTACTGCGTCAGCTGACCTTTCATACGTAGATTAGTCACAAAGCTACTAATTTTGCAGAATGGTGAGAAAAGATGAGTCAGTGCTCCCATAAAATGTAAATGGGTAGCTCCTTTATATGAGCAAGCAGGAAGCATCTTTCAGATACAACAATGGAGGATGAATCATGGTGGCGTTGGATGTTTTTGTCTTTCCTCCTTGTGGGAATCCAATTTTTATATTACTATTCAAAAGATAACTGACTCGAATAGACCTTTAATGTCGATGAAGATGGTTGTAATTTTTAAAATTTCGACAGTACGCCATAGAATATACCCCCCAAAAAATCTTGGGAGAGTATATTATGTATACATATTATGAGTGATAATTAACATAAATTGTTAAACAAACAATATTATGCTACAAAAATGAATATATACTGAAACAAAAATAAATTTATATGTATGTTTATATATTAGTTTTTGCGTGTGGTCATATTTCAAATTATGTAAACAAAGCAATTGGATATATTATATACTCTTCTTTTTTATTTAAAGGTTTGAGACAGTGAGATGAACTCACAATTCTCGGATGCATCAGATTTTCCGCTTGAAATGTGATAAAATCTGGTAAAAGTGGAAAAGTATGAATGATTCATATAATCCTAGGATATGTTGCTACATGTAATTATCTTTGAATACAAAGCAAAATTTCAATAATAGCAACATAGAGCGTGGTAAAATAGTTTCATACCTACTTCTAGCTCTTAGCTTAGCTATTTTGTCGACTTTTCTTATTTTCTTAATTGAATTTTGTTAACATATTTTAATTACTTATGGGGATTAATTAATATTGATTTCGATTTTATTTTTATTCTTCAAATTATTGGGAGGCGAAATGATAATACCGCTCCTGAATTGTTATTGAGGGGACATTGGTCTTCATCCTAATTCTGTGTCCATGCAGTATTTTTATCCTATATATTATTTCCAAAAGATATTTTTTTGTCGGTACGCCATAACTTCGTCAATTCTTCATCAAACCCAATGATTGACCACTCATTTTGAAGATATTCTTCTCCTTCATATGCGAAAAAAAGTCCCATCCCCCGAAATTTCTGAAAAAAAAGTTATGAAGGAAAGGAAACTTTATTTGCGAATAACTTAAAAAGTATGCATTTTTTCTTGATTGTACCCTTGATAATTAGAGATAATAATTATTGGTCTATTATGTTAAATGGAATATTTTAATCGACCAAAGAAAAATTATTAATTCCTTTCTCACATAATACATTAGATCTACTTATTTCCTTTTTGTTTTTCTATTTCTTCACTAAACAAAATTTTCTGCGAATTATTCGCACGGGCCAACTAGTTTATTTATATTTTCTGAAGCTTAATTCATTCCTCTATATTTGGACTTTCAATAACAGTTATAGTACAACCAATATCAAAAATATTATTGGTCATATTTTGAATCCATCAAGCTTAATCTTTGTATGCCCAAATGAAAATGCTTCATTCCAATACTATTGAAAATCTTAGATGTTTATTCGACTAAAAGAAATTATTTTTACATGCATTATTGAATTTGATCAATCCATTTAATTTTTTATTGAATAATACTCGTGGGGTTATTTTATTTTAAATAACCCGAAGAGGCATTGAATTCTATTTATACGAGTTTCACGTTTTTTTTTTTTTAAATTGGCTACACCAATTATATACATTTCAAATCTATTTTTAAGTATTTTTTCTTTATAAATTTATTTGTACCTGTGAAATGCAGTATGTTGATAATCAGCAAATGAGGTGACTAAACAGGAAATAATGACATATCAGTCATGGGAAGTCTAGATCAGTCTTGATTCACTTACTTTGGTTGTTTAAGGAAGGATCCAGTCTTCTCCTCATGTTCTGGAGTATGTCAGCTGTAGCAATGTCTAGCATTAAACTGTTGGTATGTCCGTTTAAATTTGTATAAAATCGTTGTATGTTTTTTAACTGGTGGCAGATGTAGGTCAGTATGTTGAGTTTAATAGTCATTTACTTTTGTTATAAGTTGTAATAATGTTGATTGGAAAAAAATATTTGCACCATATCGAGTAATTTTTGAAATATTTATTTATAAAATTGCAAAAATATATTTTTTTTTTTTAACCACAAAAGATTTAAAAACTTGGACTACAGGGATGTTTAATAGCTCATTTTTATGCTATGGGATATTATTTAATACGTAACATGACAACCTGCATATTATGTTACTATATTTTCTTAAGTGTAATTAATTTTATTTAATTATGGGCCAACAGACTTTTAAAGAATTCGAGTGGAAAATAATGGAATGCGTTTTTGGTTCTATCTGCGAACGAAAAGTTTCAATTGCCGCATTCAATTCAAATGGCGCATAAGAACTAATCAAGAACTACCAGCATATTGTTAGATTTATCAAGTCGGAAGAATTAGGTGGCTTGGGCGTGTTTAAAGATTATCTACGGAAGAATGTCACAAGAGTATTCTTTCTAAGAGAGAGGAAGATAGGACATCTAAGAAAATTCTGGCAAAAGGACCTAGTAGATGATCTCAGGAAAATTTGAGTGACTCACTCGAGAAGAAAGAATGAGGATAGAGAAAAAGGGAAGGTAATCGTTCTATAGGCCAAAGTTCATCTTGGACCACATAAGTAATTTAGTAATTAATTTTATGATTTATTAGGTTTCAACGTTCTTGTTTACTTCAACAATGGCCTATTAATTTTATTATTTGATGTATTTAAAAAAAAATCTATAATATTTTTATTGATTTTTTTATTCTTTTTATCATTTTTTTTTTTTGTATTTTTATCCTTGATCTTTTTTTTTTTTTCGTTTCTTAGGGAACAAATTAAAATACTATAAAGCTATTTGTAAAAAGCAACCTTCTCTGTAAATGTGAATTGAGATTATCAGTTTAAATATTAAAAGGCCATGTGGAATCCCTTTGATGTGGACAACGACGATCGACTGGAAGGTATCGTGCCCGCTCTGACACAGTGATCATATTCATGACCGTATTTTAGATTCCCTGTTTAGATAGTAAATTCATTGGCACCCGATCACGCGAATGGTCAGAGACCCCGCTCAGTCGTCCGTTAGAAATGAAACCGAAAGCTAGTGAGGAGCCCGTCGAGGACATTGGAGTGGCAGAAGTGTTTGAGGATGTGGGCGAGGAGGCGAGGAACCAAGCGGAAGAGGCGGAAGGAGATGGTGGAGAGGTTGAAGACACCAAAGAGGAAATTGAAGAACAAGAAGAAACCGAAAATAAAGAGGAAAGTGAAGGTGAAGAACTAAGTGAAAAGGAGGATAAAATTGACAAAGAAAACGAAACGGAAACAGCATCAGTAAAAGATGAAGAAAATCGTGTCATGGGTGAAACTTTCATTGTTTTTCCAGGTGAGACTATTCAACTATTTCTTATTATTTAATCTAGAAAATGGGATAGCTCAGTGAGTAAGGCACAATGCTACTAATCCCCAGGTCATGGGTTCTAATCTGTAGGTGCCAGATAAGAATAAATACTGTTACTTCAACTGCGATCTAGCAATCTACTGAGAATCAGCACCTTATATACTCTATGGGGTGTAGGGTTTTTTTTTTATATTAATGAAACAGCGTCTGAATATAATTAGAGTACACGCTTATTATATTCCGAAAAATGTATGACTTGTTATCTCAGCTGTTTTATTTTATTTTTAATTTAAATTTTATTTTTAGTTCAAATCTTTTTATTTCTTTAATTTTCGAACGAATATTTGGCTTTACCTTATCTACAGATTATTGAATGAGAGTTATTTATTTATTATGAACGAAGCAATATTTATGTAAAAACAGTTTTATTATTTAATTTAGCTCTAAGGATATCGAAAAAAATATGTAAAAAAATGAACAAAATAAATTATTACGCCATAATTGTTACTATGCCAACAAATTTGAATCGTCTATGATTTTTGGAAATTTGAAAAATTATTTATATAATTTATTTATTTTTGTAAAAATTTAAACTGTTTCATTAATGGATGATTTTTAATTAATTATGACAAAATATTGATTATGCGATGGGCAATGAACTCTGTGCTCTGACAGCTCCTGATGGCTTATTGATTACTACCAAGATGGAAAGACCTGATTACGATTCGTTCCGTGTTGTAGTATGGTGGGTGTGATAGAAGCGATGATGGAAACGGTAATTATTTTAATGTTATATTGTCTGTAATATTCACCCACAATATTGTTTCCTTTTTTTTTCCAACATCATTTAGGCTAATAATTTCATTACTAGATTGTGGTGGTTTATTTACAATTTTATTTTAGAATTAGATTAGAAATCGAAATTTTACGTTACATTAAATATGGTGAATAACTTTATTTATGTTCTGGCTTTTCTCCGCTGGCTATATTATTATCTTTTACGATTTTTCTTCCATTATCTTTTACAATTTTTTTTTCACGGAGAAACAGGTAGGAAAATATCTCATAAAATAAGCGTATGAAATATTATGAAGAAGGAAATATTCTCCCTCTCTTGCTTCTCTGCCTCTAAAAAAATGATAATAATAAATAACCGATAGAATAACGAATATAAAAAAAAATAATAATTCTGTTATTTTTCTTTCCTTTTACTTATATATAAAATATATAGTACGAAAAAGTATTGCGATTGTGAAAAAAGTTCGAATCCCAGGTTTGTTTTCAACGAAAATACAAGGTTTGCTCTCCCCTGAGTACAAATAATTAATTCACGCAAAAAATGTATATGTTCTGTGTGAACAGTCAAGCTCAAAAACGAAAAGTCGTACCAAACGAGTTTATATTTTATTATAAATTAAAAAAAAATATTTTAAGGACTATATTTAAACGATTATATTATAAATTTAAAATACTGTATTAAAAGTTATACTGTACGCCTGTTCCAGAATTACGTGTTACTTTAAAGTCGTCACTGCATTTATTTTGTCCAAATCGAAAATAGGAGATGGTACTTTTAATCATTTGATTAAACGCGTTGTATATATGTAAAATTAAATTGTCTTCATTACCATGTAATCTTACTGAAATAGTCCCATAAATGCAGGATCTTCAAAATTTCTTCTCCCTAAGTATTTTTGTTTACCGGAAATGATTACATGTTTCTTATCATAAATAGTGATGCAAAATTAATAAACATGAACTATAAGGAATTGGATTATGAATTAAATGTCAAAATGGAAAAATATTTTCCCTTGATCGATAACAAATTTCAGTAAATAAGAATAGAGATATTGATGTATGATATATCGTTAAAAAATGAAAGGTTTTAGAAAAATTAAAACCTAACAAATAGGATTAGAGAAGGCGTTGGAGAATAAGGAAAAGGTAATGACTTATAATTGTTGTTATTAGTAATGTCTACTTTTATCTGAATCGAAAATAAATGTTTCTTGAAAATGAATGGATAACTAATTTTTTTTTTCATATTGGGAAATAAAAATATATACCTACGCAGTATTTTTGTAGTTTAAATTGTCTTAAGTTTGTATATATGATTAAACTAATATTTTTAGGTTTATTTTATTCTAAAAAATAATTTATACTTGTAGTAAGTGAACATTGTGTTATGCGCACACCTCCGTTTTTACTGTTTAATTTTGATGTACGAAATCGTATTATATTTATATTTTTATATAGGTGTAAAAGATGTTTATTTTAATTATGTCTGATAGATTTATACGACAGAAGATACTGAGGTGCATGCAAGAATGCGTAGAACAAAAAAAAAACCCAACGGAATCAGTCATCAATAGATGACGATTGATAGCTCTATGTATAGATGCCTGACTATGTTTGTGTTTGAACCTGTAATCTTGAAGATTTTATCCTTCTTCTTGCTTCGATGGTATTCTCCTTATCTAATGAACACCTTTATTATCCCTCACGTATAATTATTTTCTTCCTCCGGAGCGACCGTCTCCCATCCCCACTGATTGGAGATGATCATGTTGGTTATTCTAGCATTAGAACACACGGGGTTGAATAATTTTTCTTATAGAGAATGTATGGTTATTAGCATGCCTATAGGCGTAGAATGTTTTAGAATATTGTTGGCTCGAGAAGTTTTTATTTATTATATTTAAAGATATACTTGCAACGGACAACTGTAGTATGTTGACAGGTGCAAATCAGCTGATCCAGGGAATAATGACATGTTAGAAGGACGTCACTCAGCAGTACCTCCTGGCATGATTAAATTACTTATGTTGTTCAAGAGATCTTTCATCCAGCACCTTTTTAGTCTCGTAATATTCAGCGGTATGTCAGCTGATGTCTCTTATTAAACTGTTGTTATATCCGTTAAAATTTGTGTAGAATCGTCGGTAAAGGGTGTTTGTCAATTGTTAGCAGGTAGAGGTTAGTAGAGTTTTGTTAGTCACTTACCAAGGAGCTTTTGTTATGAGTCTTCATAATTTTGATTAGAAGGTTTAGCTGTGGTTCTTTTTGGCGACACTATCTAATTGTGATGGTTCAAGTAAGTATGTACATGTTCTCAGTTTCGATTTTGAAGGTTTGGAAAAAAAAGGGGTAAAGTAATTTGAGTCGTTTAGTAAGATTTCATTTTTACATTCGAGCCGTATGTCATCCTTCTGTCGAAGGTTAAGATAAAATACTGATTTCCTTTCAAGAATTTAATTGTTGTCAATTGTGTTATTACTATTATGTTACCATAGTTTAGTCAAATTTTACATAGATTGAACCAATCTTGTAATTTAAGTAAGTGATGTAAGGTTAGTGAGGGACTGTGTAGGAACTTGATTTTTTGTGAGAATTATTGTGGCGTTAACTGTTAATGTTTATAATTGTTAACAGGTATGCCGTAAGTGAATATATCGTGCAGTAGAGGTGCCAGTGTTGAATCTTGGGGAACACATGCCAAAATTTCCGAGTCCTGCTGAACAGAGAATATATTTATTTTTATATATTTATAAAAAAATTGAAATAATATTTGTATATTTATTTTTCTATTTTATTAATTTTTCATATTCGGTTTAAATTGATCTTTTAAACTATTTGGTCCCCATCATAAATATAATAATTAGGAATGTATTATTTTATCATAAAATATATAAGATATTTTTACATGTATATGTAAATAAAATTAAAATGCTTTCTAATATTTACTTAAAATATAGTAGAAGCCATTGAAGTGGTTCCTATACCGATTAATTTAGATGAAAGCCTTCGCCAACCAGAATACACCAAATTTTCAGGATTAGGGTGCTTGTGACTAGTAATGAAATTAGAGTCTTATCATATCTTTACGTATTCAATTCTTCATGTTATGATATTGAACCTCTCTGCTGTTTTTATTTTTACACCATCCTCAGAACTACGTATATATATATTTATCTTTATTTCTTCATTCATTCTTGTCAAAAATACTAACGATTAGTGTATTTGCTGTCGAAGAATTGAATGATATGGCAATTATTAGTTCAAGATCGAACATTTATATCTCAGCATCTCTTACTATCTTTTTGTTCACATTTTGTAAGTATCTGAGACGGTCCTTCATCAAGATATCTTTTTCAGCCTACTAAATGTATTAATTTGTTTGTAGTAATGAATTATTTCTTATTGAAATCTATTCGTAATTATCATGAAATCTTTTAGAATACGTCCGTCACTTGTCGTTAATAGTTTGCGTATGACTTTTGTTTTCAGTCAATTTAAACTTTTTTTTTTGCAAATTAGGAACAAAATAATAAATGTTAGGTTATAATTGAAAAAAATCCAAACTATACAGCCTTATGTCTCCAAAATGCAAAGAAAAACCAAACAATCAAACATCAGCATATTCTGCGAATGCGATTGGATTCCATGAAGTGATGTTGGATTAGCTGATTTTTTCAGTCCTGATTATACCTGAACGGGCGAAACTTTGATGGATTTTTCTTTGCCTGCATTTCGGAGACATAACGCTGTGTGGTTTGGTATTTTCTCATAAACATCCAACATTTTGTTTTTACGTCTCGTCAAAATATCGATTATTTAATGTATTTTATTATAAATACTGGAACCGCTACTGATAGAACTCAAGTGGGCCTTGTCATTTCTGCGTTTTGGCTAACTTCGAGGTTGACGAAAATTTTGAGGATGCGTGCTTACTATAGTGGGTGTCAAGATTCATTTCCGGTGGCCGGCGAGTCAATAATATACATGATATTTACAATTGTATTATGAAAGAATACATTAAGTAAATGTGATAACAGAAAATAAAAACATGAAAACACTTGTTGAGACACTACCCACTTTTAGCATTCTAAAATAAAATGTATTTACAATAGAAAATCTCGAGGCCATCTTCTTTTCAGACGCCTCGCAGGGTTATCAGGGATCGAATAGGAAGCAAGGTTAGAAACGAGAGGGTTCGGATGGTTCTGAAGTTTATTATGGAAGGATAGGTATCTGGATTGGGCCAATTAGGAAACATAAGGAACATTAAGGTCTTTATCGATGATTTTATTAGTGACAAAGGATTTTGCGGAGGATTCTTGAGGATTTTACGAAGGATTTTGGATTGTAAGGATTGGATGCGTGAGGATATTATTTATTTATTTATTTGATGTTTTGTTGCCTCTACTCTGTAGGGTCATGGGCAACGCCTTTAAATTACACTCTGTTGTAGAGTTTTATCTCTTTTAAAAACCTTAAAGGTTTTTTTTTTTACTGCACTTTCACTGTCTTGTAGATTTTCTTTTAGACTCTGTGCCATGACTAACTTTTTCCTTGTAAGTTCAAATGAAGGGCAGTCTTGAATAATGTGCTTTACTGTCCTTTGGAAATTGCAGCTATCGCAGGTCGTAGGATTAAGTCATCTTAATAGGTAGGAGTGCGAGAACTCCTAATGTCCAATTCGTAATCTGCAGAGAGCTGTCTCCTCTTTTCGAGGCGATCGGTGATAGGTTTCCCATTTTAATGTTAAAATATTATTACATATTAAAAGTATTACTAATTATTAAAATAAGGATATTCTCTCGGTAAAACCTAAATTGCGAGGGATGTATTAACAGATCCCATATCAATCCAGAATGATATATTAATCTAGGTATCAATAATTTTAAAAACATTCTTGGGACTATGTAAATAAAAGCCCCTTCACTCTTACAGCTTTACAAGATAGTGAAACTATCCCTCGGACCACTACTTGAATGTCCTTATGTTGAGTTCCCGGCATCTTTACGTCCCTCAGCCAATCGAGCGACGAGCGCGCGAGGTGAAGGAGTCAGTGTGTTTGGAGGTCGCGGAGGCCTTAACCCTCAGCCGGGGCAGGTCATGCAAGGCACGAAGTGGCGAGGGAGGGAACTGCAATCGATTGTGAGAGGTAAGGATGGACACGTCTTTTCGGCGAGTGTCGTGGGATTGGCGATGGTAGTTGTATCTGATGATCATCACGTTATTATTTTTATCAACGGTTACTTTAAACGGTTATAATCAGTAGATTAAACCAAGAGTGAAAAATAACCGGAGTGACCTATAACCGAATATTTTCCATTAACCACCATCCCTATACTCGTTTGGATGGGTTTGCGTCGATCACACCATGAGAAGCCGACGAAGGTTCAATAAACCCAAATAAATTATTTATTTAATAATTTATAATCTTTATTCACGCCTGTTTAAAAAAAAAATAGTTGTAATATTTATATAAAAATTTATATATATATATATATATATATAAAAATAAATATTAATATTTTCTAATAAAATTCAATGACTAGCGAGGTATGAGGAGCGATACCCTGCGGCAAATCCTCCTCCCGTGATATCTACATAAATTGTCAGGCGAGGAGATCCCTCATCCAGCTCCTCTTCCACCTTCTAAGGACGTTACTGCTATGCGTGTTATAGCCATGTCGTTTATGAGTATGTAACGGTTTACTTGTAATTTGTCATGGAATTGCATGTTATGGGTTCGTATATGATTTGTAAAAGACAGTGTGTAAGTAATTATAATGGTTTTGAATGTTTTTTTTTTTTTTTTTTTAACGATTTGAATTGTTTGTGTGAGACTGAATTGTTATAGCTGTTCCATTTAGTGTCATGTGTAAACGCATTCCGAAATTTTAAAAGTGGTGAATCTTATGCTATAGTTAGAAGAAAATAAAACAAAATCGCAAATAAATTATTCTATCCATTCACATGGCCTCGTCAAATGGTTTTAACGAAGACAAACTCTGCTTTCATTTAAAGTAATTTTTTTCTAGTTTACTATAGGAATTGTTAATTACTTATTTTTTTGTTTTGCTAGCGCTTCCTATTGAACAAAAAACGTGAGAGTTAAAAAATCATAAAACTTAAATTTCCAACTTTTCTCCTGATAATCGGGTCAGTTTTTATATAATCTATTTTTAACTTTTGAAATCCGTTTTCATCCCTTCAAATATTTCTCTCTACTTGCCGTATACCCTATACAATTTCAAACCATTATTTTTACACTTATTCCAATGGTAACCAAAATTGTATTTTATTTTAAAATAACTTGTTTCCCTATTCCTCAGTTCATCTTCATCTACCCCCACCAATGTTTTTTAATCTTAACTTGATTGTAAACTTATAATTTAGGAAAGGGATTAATAGAATACAAGATCTAAGAATCAATCTATTGTAAATTCTATATAACCATATATATATATATATATATATATATACACTCAAGAACATATATATGTGTGTAAAGTAGAGAGAACGGCCTCTACTCGCGGCTGGCTGCAATGAGCGCTATATTAATATAGCTCAGTGCTAGTTCAGTCTGTGTTCTCATCATGAAGAAGAAACTCATAGTTTTCCACGGATCGGTGTCCGATTCCTCCGACTACACCATTGACTACTATTACCCCAAGGACTTCAAGATGTACAGTGAGTTCGAATTTTTGTCTTTTAGGGTATTATTTTTTACATTCATATTTAACATACAAAAAACAACAAACATTTCTTGACCGAATTTATATTTTATATTTAAATGTGTGTTGTTCTTTGGTTTACTTCATATTTCATTGTTTTAAAATTTAATTTCACTGCTTAATTATTTAAATACAGAATTCAATTATGGGCATTATGCTCAATTACAGGTGTTCGTTCTTTTTAGATTATATATAAAGTGAAATAGTTAATAGTTGTTAAATATCACATCAATAAAATAATACTAAACCATTATAAAAATGAAAATAATAACATTAATAATGATTAAAAAAATAAAATCATCAAATGAATAAAAACAGAAATCTGTCTCAGCACAGTGAATATAATAAATAAATAAATTATAATTAAGTGTGATATAAGAAAAATCCGATTCTATTTCATTATTAAGTAAATACGTAAGGAGACCATATATATTTTACATACAGATAAAAAAATTTTTTTTTAATAATTTAATTAAATGTAATGCTGTGATTATTTTGTAGCCTTGGATTCTTTGCGCCAAAGATATTTTTTAAAAAATTGTAAGTTATGTAAAAATGTAAACCTGACTCTAGCTATATTTCAAAAATCTTTTCTTTTCAAAACTTTCCCTCCCTTTTTTGTTACCAAATTATTCAACAGTATTCAATTAACTTTAATCACTTTTTTATGTTTCATATGATTGGTCTTGTGCCAATAAACATATTTTCAAAGTATTTTTGGAGGTGTTTACTAACAGCCTAAATATTATTCCAGTTGTCTGCGGATGGGCTGGACCAGAGGTCTCTAAACTCCGTCCTTCAAGCACCTCCAGTGTGCCCAGTGAACGTTTATTTGATTACATGATAAAATTTATAAACTATGAAATTTAACAAATTGCACAAGAGGTTATTACAATATTTAACGCATCGGTTTTTTTCTCTTAGAAAACTCATTTCACAATTAAAGTGTCATTTATAGAACATGATTTCATTTATCATCGCAAGCCGACTTAGATGGAGGTCTCAATTTGGCCAGCGGGCCAAAACGTTTAATGTTGGATCACATAATCAAATCTCATAATGTTGGAACATTGAAATTATCGAAAAAGCTACTCATCATTTATATCTATTGTTATTGTAAAACCATTCGTGTTATGAGATATTCAACATATTTAAAAGGTCGTCCCGGGCTAATTAATATATGCGTATTATACATGTTTTGGTTTAACATCTTTATAATTATAATCTTTGTAATTATCTCTCAAAGATATTTTTATCGTTTATCCATGTCTCCTTCAATTCTTCATTAAACCAATGATTGTGCCATCATTTTGATAATAATCTTTTCATCGCCTAAAAATAAGTTACCTCATACTTATTCACTTAATAATAATTGGTTAATTTATTTTACACTTTGAAAATAAAATATATTTTTTCGCTTTTCCTGAATAATGATTGGTCAGTGAAAATTAAAGGTCTTTCGTCTATAATTTAGTAATATTTCGAATCTATTCTCAAAATGAAGGTATTGCTACTTTCTTCCCGTGGTGAAGAAACCTACACATTGCTTTTGATTCTTATTATCACAAATGTTATTAAAAGGAGTAATTGTTTTTAATAATTGTAACATGCTCATTTCTGTATTGAGGAAGTTTGTAGGAAACTGTATGCCAAGAGGTAATTTGCTCCATTTGGATCAAGATCAAATCCATTCTATAAATGCGCCTGTAAACAGAGTTGTGTAGGTGCCGTGTCTAACCTCGTGTATTTTTTCTAATTATAATTTTATTATTTTTTTGTTATAATATTTCAGAAGTTATGATGATTAATAAATTTAAAATATAATGTGTAAATTTAATTAATATTTTTATTTATACAATTTGTTCCAAACATAACAGGGAATATTTTGAAATTTGATAGTAGATGTCAAAGTTCGATTTCACAAAGAAAATCAGGCGTTTGTGGAATGGACGAGAGAGGGCACATCGGAAATTATTATAAAAATACATTTCATATTACACGTTGCCATCATATCAAGCAATATCATTGAACCTGTCTTGAAAAGAAAAAAAATAATTTTTTATGGTTAATTATTCATTAATATCTATTCCTGGTTACAGAAAAAAAAGTATACTAATAATTTATTATAATTGTTTTTATTGAAAACACTGTGTGGTTTACGAATCCAAGATTCGAGATTTTTTGTGTTAGTTTAATTTTTTTTTTTTTTAAACCTAAGGCAAATCTGAGCTTACGAGTATTCTTTACCTGGCCTCAACACAGTTATTAAGAGCTTGAATGTTTTAAACAACAAATATTATTTAAAAGTTGATAATCTAAAATCCTATAGAAGGTTTATACAATAAAAAAATGCCAATAATTAATGCTGTAAAGAAAAAAACAGAACTTTGGGTAATTTAGCCGTTTAACTAAAATTGTAGAAAAAAATAACTACACTTAAATATCTGTGTGAGATCGGACATATGTATGGTCTATGTGTACATTTTTGTTTTTATCGAGATCTGTATTAATTGTTTAAATATTTCACATTATCTGCGAGCTATCCTGTAAATGTTTACCGATTTAATAATCATGCGAATAAATCTAATTTTTTATACTAATATGATGACAATGCCTGTCTTAGTTCTTCGTTACCTTTAGTCCGAACATCAATAAGCATTATCTAAATTCTTTACTTAATGAGGTCAAGTACGATCACTTCTTTGTGCCTTGGACGAAATATTTTTTAAGGTCACCTGCAGTTTTCGATTTGAAGTTGATGTTCGTGCTGAACTTGGCCCTTGGCGAAAACGTTGGCATTGAAGTGGTGCCATCCCTCAATACCGTCACGAAGTCGTCCACCACCGTCACGAAATCATCCATCATCGAAGTACTTACTTGTTTTTTGTGACAGCTGTTCGAAATTGTAATAAGCTCTCATAAAGAGCGTGTAAATATTTTAGCACAGTAATGTATTTTCAAATAGTTTATGATCGGTACGAAACATAAATAAATATAGTTGTGGCGCATTTAAAACGAGATATTAGAAAGTGGCCATATTGTTAGCTAATTTTTAGGGATAATGCATGTCACTACTCTTAGTGCTAAAGGTCGTATGTGCAATACGTTCCTTTTTATTCTATTTGTGGTTAAGGTGACATTTTGTATTCTTCAACTGCCATAAGTAGTCTGCTACTTCGGAATATGGCAAACATTTTTTTTATTATTATTTATTTATGATATTTACAAATGTATTAAAAAAAAAAAGTGAAAGTAAAATACATTCAGTAAATGTAATAACAGAAAATAAAAACCTGAAAACCATTGGGCGAACTGTAGTTTATATATAGCTTTGGAAGAGTTTTCTTGTCCATTTCTTCTTCGCACACGGTTTCAGAAAGACAAAAAAACGCTATCTAAGATATTACATATTTGTCTTAAGCACTGTGTAAAAATTGAACTAAAATTCTAGTTTAAAAAATACGCATACAGTATAGCTAATTTTGTCTTAGGAATAATGTTAGTTTTTGCACTAAGAGGCTTTTGCAATGTGGCAATCGATATGTTTCAGTAGTAAATCGTATTGCAGTAAGTGCATGTTTTCATTCCATTCTATTTCAGTCCATTCTGGTTGTGGTCCTGGTTGCGACGGCCACTTCGGCAGAACACCAGAAACCAATTACACTTTTGTAGAGGATATTGTTGTATGCATTACCATCGAGGAGGATTTTCATTCAAAGCAGTTATATAATGTATGCTTTATTTAGATATATAATACGTCTTTTACACTCATAACTGATATCTACTATGCATATATAAAAGTAATATATCTGTACGTCGGAGGTAAAGAACACACCATGTCCATTTTTGTATTCGTTCAATATTGTTAACTTTGAGCTATTAAAAATTTGTATCATAGTTACTAAATATGTACCCCGAAGTTAAAGGACATCATATCCCGTTTTTGTATCCAGGTGTGTCCATCCTCCCCCCAAGATCAATGGCGCATAAACCTCCCCCTCTTCTCCCAAGGTATTTTATATTTCCCCTCTTCTTAAAATCAGTGCAAGCTAAAGTAGAATTTTAAAAATTATAGATCATATACAATTACATTTCCAGTGGTTTGTTCTATTCTTTCCTCTTGTCTCCTGATTTGAAACTTTTCATTTTGAAGAATCATAACCCAGTCGAAGTTTTCCCCCTCACAAATTCAAACTGTGCCCCCTCAAAAATTTTGTTGGCGCCATAAAACCCATTTGTGGGTAGTGTTGCCCAAAATCGGCACTTTGCAATACCAAGACCAAGGCCGCCTAACTGTTACAAGACCAAGAATTAGGCAAAAAATTAGCAACATAGTTACTAATACTAATATCTTAGTTACTATGTGTTAATAATTGGTATAACCAATGCATTTTTGCATTTAACTCCTCTAATTTTTCATTCTGGCTTAGTTAGGTTTCTCCTATCTCAAAAATTACATCAATATAGTAATAGTAATAAGCTGGTACGTAACTGTAAGGCTGTTGCGAGATTCTTGCACAACAGCAAGACCAAGACTCGTCTCGGTCTTGCATTTGGGCAACACTACTTGTGGGCACCCCTGTTTGCATCGAGAGGTGAGCCAATTTTCTAAACCTTGAGCTATTAAAATTTGTCATCTTGTTACCAAATTATTTAATAAAATTATATAATTACAGATATAATATCGATAAATACATATTTATTCTTCTTAATTATTTCTCTTCTACCGCTTAGCAGTTCGAACAGCCATCTTATCTTGCAGATTGAGATGGGCAAATACTATTCTGAGTAACGAGTACAAAGTATTTTACTCAAATACTGAACTTTCTTGGGTACCATAGAATTTAATCATTACTTCAGTTAATGTCAAACGATTAACTAAAGTAATAATTGAATTCCCAATAGTGATTCAATCACTCCTTCAGTCAATCGTTTCACATCAACTGAAGTAGTAATTAAATTCTTTGGTACTCAAGAAAGCTCAGTATTTGAGTAACTCCCGATCTTGTACCCACTGTCGCTTCCTCTTCCAGTCCTATCTCCTCTCTGTAAAAATGAATAATTTTCAGAATATAGCAACAGACCCACAAAATAGCAAATCAAGAACAAAATATGTTAAATAACTACTAGTATTGTTACTGATACCTAAAGCTTTATGACCTTCCAACCGCAACACCTCTTTGTAATTATTCTAGCTTCGCAAAGCTAGTAATCTATTGATAAGTCATTAAAATGGAGCAACAGTTTTCAATTCCAATTGGTCAGAACTCCAAAATTCATTGCGTGAGATTTCCTGGAATATTTCTTTATTTTATTCATTTTTACTTGTTTGATTTGGTTTAGCTGTTTAGAAGCGATAATTTTTATATGTTCGAAAAATGTTTACAAAAGTTGGGAAACGTTCAGTTACATTAGAGAAATGTATATTTTTATGAGGAAAACGTGGTTTTCTTGGAAAATTGTTTAAAATATCATATCTCGGCAACGGATTGAGATAAGGTCTGGTTGAAATCGTTGAACTACATTTTATATATTCTCTCTCCATAAAATAAAATAAATTTATTTCGAATTAATATTTTATAAGATAAGGAATTGGAGCTCTACCCTTTAATGGAATGAGCAGTAGAAAGATTTTTTCAAGACAATTTGTTTTTGAGAATATTCGAAATGATTACTTTTTAAAATATTCTCTCTTTATCCCTTTGCTTTGCTCGTATTTCAGAGAAATTTTAATTGTAGCACTAAGGACAACATCCTTTGATTTCCTATAATGATATTTAATTTTACCTACTTTTAATATTTACTCCGTTTAAGAAGATTTTTTAAAAAATTCAATACCTTCTAAGAATTTCCGTTTAGAAAGTAAAGGAGATTATTTTTTTTTTTATTATGCTTTTTCAAGCCAAGAAGCGAAATCGAGACTATGAATTCTCGTCAGCATATTACATTTAAAAAAAAAAAGTTTGTACTTACATTACACAGTACGATAGTAAAATCAGCTGATCATTCTTGACCAAATTACAGCTTTGGGAAACTGGGCAGTATATTTTAAAAATGTGGGTGCAAGTTTCGATGCATCGAATCTTTGCTAAAACTGACCCAACTTGCAGTATTATTTTTATTTTTTGAGAATTGCCAAACTGGTGTTGTTTTTTAGACTTAAAGGCTATGCAACTTTAAAATCTTAATAATAAATAATATTTTAATAACTTTAACATCAAAAATTTTACTTGATAACAGTACTTTCCCTACACTAGTAGCAAGTTCCTGGATGGCCAAGCACGTTCGGATGAGGGTCCTGTTCAAAATGGTGTGAGTTCGATTCTCACCTGGTCATTTAAAATTTATTTCTAAATGGTTCTCAGAAACGAATCTTGACAAGTTAAATTTTCTTTGAAAAATTATACTTGTAAGTTATAGATACTAATATTTATTTCCATTTACCATACATAAATATACTTTGTCATTTTATACAAAAGGTTATTTTTAATAATTGTTTCTTGTATATAATATCGGAATAACAATTTTACTCTTTGTGGGTTTGAATGGAAATGAACGAGCTGATATGATGGCAAAACGGGGTTCTGGAAGGGCGGAAAATGCGAAACTGCCTTTACAGGAAATTTATAGATGGGAGAAAAAACACTTTGTTAGTGAATGGCAGAATAGGTATGCCTGGGAGTCAAGTTTGAATGGTAAAGATCATTTATCTATCCAATCTAACGTCTCTCTACGCCCATGGTGCTCTAAAATTTGTGTTAAGTCGAGCAGAAAATAAATAGTCTTACTTACAAGATTAAGAATTAACCATGGTCGAACAAATCGCGGCTTGGCATTAATTAAAGTAGAAAAAAATGATAAATGTTCGATATGTAATTCCATCGAGGACCCATTGCACATTACTTTAAAATACAAGAGATATGATAAATACTGGCAGAAATAGTCCCTCATCCAAAACAATAGCACTTTCCTCCAAAGGTAGTCTAATCTAGATAGAGATACCATTCAGGCATTGTGCAAATTTATTGAAGAATCCAAAATAGATTTTTTAAAATAAATAAATAATAATAATGTACATCTATATCTCCGTTATGCTTTAATATGACAATAGGGACAATATAGGACTTTAGTGGGAGTCCTAGGCCGACGAAAAAAAAACAACAAAAAATTTACTCTTTTAAAACTTCTTTTATTTTCTTATTTTTTTGTTATATCAGATTACGTTTCGAGCTAACTTTCCAATCTTCAAATCTGCATCTTTTCTCTGCTGTTATTTAAAAATCTTCACATCAAGATAAGATACTAAGCTCTGGTTAGTATGTGGTGACAACATTTGAGAAAGCGTCATAGGTTGACTAAAAGGACCAGTAGGCTCACCTACCGGATTACTTCATCAATACCAGTACCAGTACCTGTTAGCGGTAGGAAAGTAATAAAACGGGTACAAAGTCGGATATTCTGTATCTTTGCTAAATCTGGTTCAATTTTAGTGATTTTTTTTGTGTGTTTGTTTATTAGGTAGATAATTTATTTATCTTTCAAATGAATATATATATATAAATTACCTTACAATTTCTAATGTTTGAGTTATATGATTAAAACAAAAAGGTTTCTGTACATCACATTACAACTTTTCCTGCGTTCCTTGGCGATGAAGTAAGTTTAATCAAAATAGTTGAAGTTGTTTTTGCATTACAGTTCATAGAAAAAAAAATCATGGTTAAGCCATTGCGCATCGGCTTCAGAGGTCAAAATCTCAATAAAACAATAAATAAGTAAAGAAATTAGTCCACCTTTTCATGTGATAATTTTAATATAGACTATTTAGCTATACATTTTTTAAAATTAATTTATTTAGAAATATAATAATCTGTCCCGTATACAATAATT